TGTTAATGATTCTGATGTCTGATGATGTTCCTTTATTCACTACACATTACCACTGTTTTAGAAATTATGTATCTATTAACAGTTTTTGGTGTGATTTTTTTCTTCTAAGTCTGGAGAATGAAAAACACAGTATAGTTATATAAATATAGGCTGCAGAATTTATTGCAACACATCAGATTCTATATTCCTTGATAGATACACAGTAGGATCTTCATTCAGTAACTCAAATGATGTTCAAGTTGGCCATCTGTCTTCCATCATCACACATCATTTAGTATATAACAATTTAAATGTCTGTAAATAACTAGTTTTTGAACATATGTACTGGTAGATTATTTTATGTCACTGAACACCACTTTCAGATTTTATTTTTGTTTTTCTTGCTAATACATTTTTATTTTTCATTTTTTATTGTTGTGCTGTTAATTTTGATACTGTCATTATTTTTATTATTATCATTATTATTATTATCATTATTATTATTATTATTGTTGTTATTATTATTATTATTATTATTATTATTGGTATTATCATTGTTATTGTTATTATGATTATTATTATTATCATTATTATTATTATCATTATTATTATTGTTACTATCATCATCATCATCATCATCATCATTATCTTTATTTTTATCTTTAACTGTATTGTTGTCATTGTCACTATCATTGTTATTATATTATTATTATTATTATTATTATTTTTATTGTTGTTGTTGCTATTATTGTGGACAGTAACAATACTGTTATCATTATCACCATATTGAAGTGACAGTAAAAGTAATGATTATATTTGATTGTATTTTTCATAGATAAACAAAATTTTGTTGCTGGTATATTCGTGAACTTGCTTTTCTTTTCAATTTCTTACGTTATCACTTTTTTCCACCAACATCATTGTTAACTTCATAATTCATAAGATCATTATTTTGACTTTCATTATCAGATCAAGGTAATAGGGTTTTTCATACAATCTATAAAGTTATGATTATAAAAGTGCTCTCAAGATTTCCAAAAATGATTTCCAAGGGTTTAGAGGCACCTCATATGAGGGTAGATAGTGAAAAAGAAATATCTACACACAGGATAAACATACATTGTCATGACACTTCATATGTCTCATAAAATGTCAGGCCTTGGTAAATATACTCTTAACATTAACCTGTCATGGCATTCAGGTGGTGATGATGAGATCTGCCCTTACGCCACCTTCCACCTCCTGGGTTTCCGTGAAGAAATGGACCCCCAACAAGCTGGCAACAACTTCCAGACTTTCCCCCACCAGAACGGCCATGGCTCACAACAACACTTCGTCAACTCCCCTGCTTCTAGGAGCATGGTAAGTGCTAATGATAGTGGTATCTTTGGCATTGGTAATGTTCCTGTGTTTTCTTGTAATGCTGGAGGAGAGAAAACTAATATTTACAAGGAGAATGGCATTTGTTTTAGGATTCTTAGGAGCGTGTGCTTTTTAATTTGTTTACCTTTTTTTTTGAGATTAGAGTTTTATTTTGGTTTGGTTAATTGATATGTTTGTTAACTGTTATTATTATTAATGATATTGACATTACTTTTTTTCTGTCTCCATATTAGCCTCTTTTGAAAATGGAAAGTAAGGCAAGATATATTTGACTGTAGCTATGAAGAAAGTAAGCCTTGGAGCTGTCAGTTTCATAGAGAGAGAGAAAACAAGAGAGGCTAAAAGAACATCATTATAACTTGTCTTGTTGGCAATTAACTCTTTTATGTCTGTTGACTAATAACTTTTCTTAACTGCATGAGAGCAACATAACAGTGCAGGTTATGGAAGAAAGCTCATATCTTCAGTTTTGTTGTGTTTTTTCTTTTTTTTCCATGGGAGAAATGTGCTGAACTTTTATGCTTCAGATCTCAGTAGCGACAATGAAACCAGTATTAAATATCGAAAGCTAATTTTAAAGAGAAATAAGAAAGGTTTGGATAAAAAATCAGATTTGGATACAGATGAAGCTCTTAAATGCAGTCAAATGAAGTCAATGCTTTCATGTAAAAAAGGAAAAAAAATAGCATAAAAAATTCAGTTAAATACTATCTCCAGTTGGTCTTCTCAAGGACACAGGTAAGATGAAGGCTTGCATATAGAGTTTTAACCATGGAAGAGAATGAAGAAAGAAGGTATGCAAGTATATTAATAAAGGAGAGGAATGTCAGGAGTATGTAATAAGGTGTGAATGGGTGAGAGGAAGTGAAAAACATCCATAGGTTGTAAAGATAATCTATGGATGTTTGTTTGAAAGGGCTTCATTAGTATTTATTTGCAGTCCTTTTAAATGAATAAAAATTTCATTTCACCTAAAAAAAAAAAAAAAATCATTTTTCCTATAAAGAAAAAAATATTTTTTATTTTCATGTGAATTTACATGTTTTCTAGATTTAGAATTGGTGATAAAATTGTTTGTAGAGTTGAGTATCTGATTACTGTCTGTACTAAACAAAGCTCCTTCTTTATGTATTTTATTTGCTTCAAAAATTTTGTTTGAAGATATTTTATTTCATTAAGATATTTTCAGCTCTGTTTGAGCAAAAGTGAAGGAGGTTTGAGGAGAAAGTAGTTGTGTTAGTGTGAGGTGCATGTTAGTGTTGAGAGTTTACCTGAACCCACCAACACTAGTGCTTGCTTCTGGTCTTGCTTGGTGTGGACTGTTCGCTCCGGCAGCCGCGTCATGGGTCTGGAAACTACTACAGCTGCGTTTCTGGCGACTATACTTGTGGCCATACCCCGAACGAAGGCCACCAGGTTGGTTTTGGCTATTCACTTCTGCTGGTGGCACCATAGTCACTAGCCAAAGTGTTGCCTTGCTAGTTCTGTAATCTGTTTTTGTTTATTGCTCTTAACCCACAGCCTGCTGCCTGGATTGCCATCTCACAGCATTTTCTGGCAAGGGCATCAGGGTTACATTTTGCTCTGTAGTCCTTAATGTTACAGGCTTCTGCCCTCAGTCAACTGAAGTGCTGGCTGTTACAGCCTGCGATACTGTTGATGTAACATCTATCTGTGCTTCCTGCTTATTTCCCTCTACTCTAGGAGCTACAACTTGTTGATGGTGTATACCTCAGGGTTGACACTTGTCTCATTTTGTTTGCTGCCACAAGACTATGATGCAGTAGTAATATGTATCTCCAGTATCTCCCCCAAATGTCATTAAAAATAATTTTTTTACCTTGTTACCTGTCTTGGAAATCAAAATTCTTTTATGAATCTGGTCTGTTCTCAGTGACTAAAGTAATTTCGTGAGACATCTATGACAAAGACTTAGGATACTGAATGTTATTTTACAGTGCTTTTAGGATATACTTAGTTCCCTTTCAGCCTGTACAGGTTTCCAGGTATCCACTGAATATCATCAAATGATAATCAAGTTATTTTTTTGTATAACAGTTACAAAATATGTTAAAAGAAAATCAACTTAATGTAAGAAGACCACAGCATGGCTTTACTGTAATTTTTATGAAAATAAATTCTTGTTGGCAGGTTTACTGGAGTAAAGCTTATGCAATATAGAAATGTATCTACTGTATTAATGATATCATGGCTGAAGGAGTTATTACTGATATTGTTCATACACAGTATGGTTGTTAAGTATTCAAGAAATTTTAATGATTTCTCATACAAAAAGGCTGTTTAAATACAGAAATTATGGAATAAAGATACTAATAATGATATGATATTAAATTAAAGGATTACATTGGCTCAAGAATACCAGTCATTTAGATAGTAATAGAAATGTTGGAATAATATCATGAATACCTTCAAGTTAGTTATACATGTATGTCAGTTGAGCCACAGAACAGAACAGAACAGATGTATCCAAGATGAAGGACACAGACATCCCGGGCAAGAGTTATCTTCATCTCCTACGTTGAAGTGTTTCTAAATTGAAAGACGAGAACAACCAGGATGATACTCCTACTTCATTACTACCTTTGTTCCCAGGGATTTTTTCCTTGAGGATGAACCTTTGCACTTCTCCCAAAACCCTTTGCTTCTGCTCTTTCTCTCATCTTTCTATGCAAAATTAATGAAAAGCTCATGAGTTTAAAGACTGAACTGTTATGCTGTATTTAAAACTAATTTCTCATAATTAATTTGATAGCTGGGTATAGTGCATATTGTATAAATACAAATTTTGCTTATATTAAACCCTCTTCATGAGTTTTCATCAGTTTTGTGTAATTGCATTAGGGTAAATTATCATGTAAGAATCAGATAAGAAATATATATATATATATATATATATATATATAATATATATATATATATATATATATATATATGTATACATAATATATATATATATATATATATATATATATATTATATATAATATAATATATTTATAAATATATTTATAAATATATTATAAATATATATAAATATATTTATATATGTTATATATTTTATATGTTATATATTTATATATTTATATATATAATATTATATATATATATATATATATATATATATATATATATATATATATATATATATTTATATTTATATGATATATTATAAATGTTATATATATATATATGTATATATATGTATATATATGTATTATATGTATAAAATATATACATATATATACATATATATATATATATATATATACATTATATATATATACATATATATATATATATATATATATTATATATATATATATATGTATGTATGTATATATATACATATATACATATAATACATATATATATATATATATATATATATATATATATATATAATATATATCTATATATATAATATTATATATAATTATACTACATACACACACACACACACACACACACACACACACACACAACACACAACACACACACACACACACACACACACACACACACACACATATATATATATATATAATATATATTATATATATTAATATATATATATATATTACATATATATATATATATATATAAACATATACATATATA